AGCATGTTTGTGAGAGCGTAGAGGACAAAATATAGTTTCTGACATGTTCGAGTGTCCTTACCGGTTATAAATGTTTTCCCCACATCAGTATATATTTAGCTCTGAGCTGTGTGAGATAAATGTACATATATTTCTGAGGACACTCAACGGCACGTATCAATATTTACCTGCCCCTCATGGACCAATCGCTGTATGTCTATTTCATCATTGCATTTCTTGTGTTCAAACTTATTTATTCTCTGATCTGTGTTGGCAAATTCAACGGTTTTGTGAAGTTTTTCGAGATAAATACCGTTGTGATTTAGGGCTAGAATAAGAACAAGAATGAATTGAATTAAATTGAACTAACAGAGTCCAGTTATGCAAACACTGTACACACTGTACTGTACATTTGTGGAAACTCAAAGCCAAGTTCCCCTGACACACTAGCCCCTGTGAAAAATAAGCAAATCTCTGTCTGGATGAACTTCTCATCTCCTGCTTTCCAACATTTCCTTTGCATTTTTTATGTTGCTCTCATTTACAGCCCCTAAAAAATCGCTTTGCTGTGTTTAAAGTATTTTATGTCATCTACTGGAATTGAGGAGGCTATAAAAGCGTGACGCATGGGCTCATTTAGCCAATAGTTAACATCTTTACTACTGTGCATCCATCCCAGTCAGCGCACACACATATTTGGATGACGAGTGTAATTTCGGGACACGGCTGCAGCTCTGGTTCCTGACTGATGGTCTATGGTCCTAGCGCTCATGGTACAAGAGAGGGAAGAGGAGAGACTAAACAAGCAGGACCTTACTACTTAGTTAGTATTAGTATTCACATGTCTTTTGGATCATAAGTCTCTTATCTACGGGCCTGCTATAGTTTGCACACACGTCATTAGGTTTTTTCTATTGTAAAGTCCTTTCTTAACAAAACTCAAATGAGGGAAAGCAAATAGTTTTAAGTTTTATTCTTTGAGACATTTTTTGCTTGGACTATTATGATTTTCTGCTCACTATTTTGCTCAACAACAGAACAGAGTATCAATTGTAATACTGAAGTCATGGTCCTGACTCAAATTTGCTCATAAGTGGTTGGTCTGTAAGATGTGAGATGGACCGAGTAGCAGAGGCAAAGAATCAATCATGCATGGAATACCAGACTGAATACTTAGTAGAAGGAAGTCTTGAAGTTGAACACGTGAATACAGACATCAGGCTTGGACAGTTTCATGCAGAAGCTCCTACAGTATACTCTATACAACACCAGGGAGGCATGGAAGAGTTATCGAATTGCCCTCAGCTTCAGCACTTGTCTTCCTCAGCACGTCGTATGTAGATGTATCTCCAAGTTTTTGCTCCTGAAAGACGCTGGTAGAGGCAGCGTGATCTTTTTGTGAATTCCTTAGGATCTGTATTTAGCTCTCGGACCTGAATGTGTTGTGCACCCTGAAATGTGCATAATTTAACACAGAAATACATGCTTACAAATACAATGGGTAATTTCTGCAGATTATGGGGCAGTATAGGCAAAATGGGCCAGTTTTAAACAGCTAACTGATCATATACTGTTATCAAGAAGAAAGTAAAGTAATGTATAACAGGGTAAATAGAGGGGAGTAGCAGCATGTGCATCCCTGATAAGACCCAAGAGGAAACCAGAATCTTATATATGGACTATATGGACATTTTGCCACATTCAAGATCATTCACCTCAAACTGTTACTGCGTTTTATAAGTAACATGATATTTTACCTATAGCACATCTGCTGGACGGTATATTAAAATTTCACTGCATATTCTGTGTGTGTGACCATGATAATAAACTTGAACTTGTTTGTAGTAGTTTTTTGTATATTGCACCCATTCAAATGTTGATTTCGTGTGATTCGGATGTAATGCAGCCGTAACCGAAGCAGTAGCAAAAAGCAGAGAGCAAACTCCAGAGAGAGAAGGGGCTGGCGAGTGCAATTTCTGTGCTCTGTAATGTATTGTGGCGGTTAAATGGGAGAGCGCCCGTATCTCACATTTGTCACTCGCTGTTTACTGCGTACAAGCAAGCCACCGCCGCTAATACATCCTGCCCCTCAGGTTCCAGCCTAATCACCTCTTCAACATCTTTTCATCCTTTTCTCTCCATAGCCATGAAAAATGCAGCTCCGAAAGATTCTTCTGTGAATGTGTCAATTTACTGTCCCGGTTTTCTACAGTAGATTCTTGTGAATAATAATGTTGTTGCGATCGTTCTGTTTATGACCTACATCACAAACGGATGCTGTGTCATGATGTGGAGAGAGTGGAGAGAAGCAAATCCTCAAAATGTACAAACTTTACAGCAAGCAATATCAGCTCTTGAAACCTGTGTCTTTGCAGAACTTAATATCAAATAATGTGTCCTTTTTTCCATTTTTTATTTTTTTTTATTCACATAGTTTAAGAAATATAAATATAATGCTTTTTGTGAAAGTTTTCAAAATTAAAAGTTACTTGAATGCACCATTGTCTTGCAAGTATTGTATCTATTTTTTTTTTTTCCTTCCTTGCCAATACAGAAAGGGGACAGTGATGATTTGGGACATTTAAGGACATTTATGGACATTTATTGTGGCATTGGTCATCCCGGCCCCTACGGTCCAATGGCTCCTATGTGTTTGTTGTTATTGCATTTCCTGAGTCCGAACGGTTTTATTCTCCGATCTATTGTTGGCAAATCGACAACTTTATAGAGTCTTCCGAGACGACTGCTGTTGTGATTCAAGGCTATGCAAAAATGTATTGAATTGCGTTAATACTAGAATTTGATATACGCATATATTCTGTCCAGGGTTTTTCTTTGTAAGTAACGTATTTGGCTGTCTGACCCAGAACATCTCCAAATGTTTTAATAAGTCTGCTGGCATTTTGTCTCGACCAGAGTTTATGGGATATTATATTGACTAATCAAATAAGTTCGCTCGGATCTGAAAACTAAATTATTTTGTGTAGTGGACAAATATTCAATTACTGTTACGGAAATATGCAGCCTTGTTTCAGTGATAATTTAACATCTGCCTTTTATTCTGGATGTCTTATTGTGATTTGTTTCCCTGTTTCCTTTATATATACATAATTTTTCTAGGTCGTTCATTAGTATTCACCAATACATAGTTTTGAGAGACTCCCGGTTGTTATTCCTGTCCACACTTCTGTCTCTTTACCTCAGCACCTGAAGGGTTAACGGCTCCAGGGCAGAATAAAAGCCAGGGATATATATGTAATAAAATAGGATGAATGTGACTTTTGAAGCTGGTTCAAATCCCTCAACACCCAGAGAACCGTTTCACCGCAGACTTTTACAATGTAATATCCACGTAGTTCACTTGCAAAGATACATGGATGGCAGAATAACTTGATCAAGGAGATAAATGATAAATGCTGAGACAAGAAACAAATGGCTTTTATATTATGTGATATTTCGGTGTGTGCGTGCGTGTCTGTCTGTGAGTGTGCGTTTGTGTCTGTGAGTGTGTGCGTGCATGTGCTTATTCTTTGAGGTGGAGGTACCTTTTTTCAAGCCTCTGTGCCATCATTACATTGGCTTTTTCTGACAGAAAAATTAAGATACAAATAAACAGCCCAAATGGTCAAATAGTGACTCACAAGCGTATTTCATACAAGCACACAAAACATTAAATATGAATTCTAATCAATTTAATGATCTGATTTGTTCACTAATTTCTAAGTCTATAAGGTTCTTTCTGATGGGACATGCAAAACAGTTGTCAATATATCCCAGCTTTAAACCTATTGTTATCTTGTCTTGAAAGGATAAAAACTATGGTTTTGAAGGTCCACTAAATTAAACATTCTCTTGTGCAAGTCTGTTACAATGTCTCAGCCACAAAATCATAAAACATGTATTCAATGTATTCAAATGTATTCATTGACTTGAATTATGTAAGTACACAATGACTTTCCCTAGACAGAATAAAAAACTGCACAGCCACAAACGGTAGTATTTCGGTGACAACAAAGACGTCAGTTTTGAGTTGAGGTAACACATGAAACATTCGCTTTGTGTTGGAGGTACGGCATTTGTGCATTTAAAAATGTCTTACCTCTGGATGAAAACCCCAGAAGAACCTTGACAGAAGAAAATATCAGCTGACATGGGAACTGTGTAGCAGTTTGTAAGTGAGGAAAGGACAAAGGAAGTGTTTCTTTCCTTCAGGATTTTTTACAAACATTTCCACATTATTGCATTTAGAATATCTATCTACAAAGGCCTTCAGAAACATGCATCGTTATTGTCAATTTTACTTGACTTTTCACCCAAAAAGTATACTAATATCAAAGATTGTCGCTCCAGTTTGACCAGAATTTTAGATTTATAATTGCACTTCCTGGTAGTGACTGTGACATCACTTTGTGGATGCTACCAAGCAACTGTAATGAACTAGGCCAGAATGTGCACAGAAATTGTTATTTGACAAAATAATAAGAAGAATCTGTTTTTCTAGAGAAGCGATAACTGTGTTTCTAAATTGTACCAAAATTGAGGATGAGCATGTTTTCAATTCCACGACACAATTCTCCAACTTCTGTATACAATTAAAAAATCATGTTTGAAATTTGTGATATTTTCAAGATTTTAAGTAGTACTAATAACTCCCAATACACATTTAGCAGTGAATACATGGCAAGTTCTAGTAAAAGTTTTTTTATATTTTAATGGATACTAAAACTATCAAAACTAGATACACATTTCAGAAAGTATTCAAACTGAATATAAAACCTTGTGGAACTACTTCAAAAAGTACTTTAAGTTTGTAGTGTCAGATTTATTTGAAATCATCGCTATAGTCAATCTTCAACGTACGTAATTATTCAGTAGTTCACTTTTGTTCACTTTATCACAGCAAAAACTTTTTTTTTTTTTTTTCCTGAGAAGTGTGTTCATGATGTAGAGCTATAGAAATGCCTTCACGCAGTAGTCCATGCACTAATCATTTGTCTTGGGTTTGCTTTTGTCTGCTCCAGGAGTGTCCTTTAACAGCGTCTACACTCAGATCTGGAGAGTGTTGCTACATTTGGCCGCAGACCCTTTCTCAGAAGTGTCCGACCTCGCCATGAAGGTTCTCAACAGCATCGCCTACAAGGTAAAAAAAAAAAAAAAAAACATGCAGGACAATAGCATTCAACGTTTTGCTCTCAGGGAAGACAAAAAAGACAGATATATATTCTTAATATTGGTGCCAAGAAAGTTACTGTATGAGTTTTGTTGTTTGATTATATATACATACACACATATATACACACCTAGTTTGGCATCTAAGAAATTATAAGTTTGAGCCGTTTGTTTTTCTGTCAACATTTTTGAACGGGAAAAGTAATTTGTGCGTATAGTATAAAGTTAATAATTATACATATACAATTTTAGTCTTTGTGAATCTGCTGGTTGCTCCCAGTGGCAAGGCAAGGCAAGTTTATTTATATAGCACAATTCATACACAAGGCAATTCAAAGTGCTGAACAAAACAAGAAAGCATTAAAATCATAAATTATCACAGAACATTAAAAAGAAAGATAAAAATATAAAATCCCTCAGTTGTATGCACAGTTAAACAGAACTGTCTTTAACCTGGTTTTAAACATTGTCAGAGAGGAGGCCTGTCTCAGTGTGCAGTTTGTTAAAGCTGGGGTACCTATTTTTTCAAACCACAAGAACCAAAATTAAACTGTAATCCAAATCTATGTAATTCATTTTTTGCGCTCAAAAAAGGCAGGTATTTTTAGCGTCTTTTAGATGAACAAGACTCAAGGCTCTTTCTATCAAGTCTGCAAAATATGATATGGTGGTGCAGTGGTTATCCCTTGTGGCTCTCCGCAAGAATGTCCTGGGTTCGATTCCACCTCCAGATAGGGCCTTTCTGTGTGGGGTTTTCATATTCTCCCATGTTTGCATAGTTTTCCTCCAGGTGCTCCGGGTTCCCCTACCACTAAAAACCTGGTGAAGGTTGAATGAATGTGTGTTGGGAGTGTGGGTGGTTATTGCTGTTCATTTATACACAATGTTCAATCAAAATAAATAAGTTCATAAACATTATACTTTCAATTGGAACAAACAACGTGTAATATTTATGAAGCAAAAAAGTTGAAATCATATCTTTTCCACCGTCAGTGTGGCGTACTGTAATGATGAAGCGGTTCCAGAAAGCGTCTCTCTGCTCCTCTCCCCATCAGGGCCCATTCCAAACATCTGAATGTAATATGAGCGTTATAATCAACTTTTGAGACTTGTCTATTTGTTGGTCGCTTTTTGCCCAGTGCTTATGCGAAAAAGATGAGTTTCCCGCACTTAGGCTGCACCCCCCCGCTGGCACTTTCTCCCTGCTGAAACCCATTACTTCTGCACAAATGCAATTAGGGCCCAATGAGTCCCCGCGGCTTGGCAGAGCACGGGCCGCCGTAACTTAAGGAGCCATAATAACCACCACAGTCCATCCCGCCTCTAACCGCAAGGCAACATTTCAAGCCTTTTTCTCTCTCCCAACACAACCCACACCTACCTTTTCCTGCAGCTTCTCAATAGACAAACAACAAACAACCAAGTGAATAGGAGAGATCAATAGTTTTCCCCATTCTTAAATATTTAGTCGGTTCTAAACTTTTATACATTAGGGTTGTAACATTTTCTTCTCTAAGAATAAGAGAACCTTTATTCGTCGCACAGTGGGGAAATTTCAGTGTTGTAGCACAAATAGGACAGTAGTAAGAACACACAGAGAGCACACAAAAAATAAGATGAGATAAACTTTATTGATCTCACAATGGAGAAATATACAGTTCACATTTGGCATGGATAGAATCACTCAGATTGTGCAAAAAGGAAGAAGTGTGCAACATGTTATACACAATATAAAATACAATATAAGCTTTGTTTCTTGGCTGTAAATGCTTCAATATATCGATGTTTATCTATATCCACATAAAAAGTATAAAGTTATATAAATATCTGGTCGTATGATAAGTAAACAGTGAATAGAATAGGATATTGACTAATTACAGATGAATGAAATGTTCAGGCTCAGCAGTTCTCATTGTACAGTCTGACAGCAGCAGGAAGGAAAGACCTTACGGAACCTTCACACAGTGAGGGTGAATAAGTCTGTTACTGAAGCTCCTCTCCAGAGCAGACAGAGTGTGTCCTGGGGGAATGACGGTCATGGTCCAGCATAGATGTTTGCTTGTTCTCCATACCTCTCTATCAACTTTTCGTAAAAAAAAAAAAAAAACTAAGAATCTACCAAACAGCTTATAAAAAACTGTTCTGTATCTCATGATGACGGAAAAAAATATAAAAATGTAACAGGTTAATATCAGCCTCAATGGTTTTCATATTGTCCCTAATAAATCTGGGATAACCTCATACACTAACGTATATCATAAAAATGTCAACGACTTGAAGCAATTATTATAAGAATTTGCACACATGGATGCAGCAGACTTATTGCATCTATTTTTTAGTGGATTACTGCAGCACAGATTTGCAGCGTTGGTTTGTGAAGGAGTGCTTTCATCTTCCGAGGTATTGCCCTGCCCACAGCCAACATAAAGCCGGAGTGAGGTTTTCAGAAAGGCAGTAAATGGAGACTTTAAAGAAAAGAAAAAAAGACACATTTTACTCAAACTCTGCATTGCAACAGCTCCAATGTCAGTGAAATTTAACTCAGCCTTCAGGTGCTGGTGAAACAGGAAAAAGAAGCACTTGGCAAATTCCTTTTTTGTGATTTTATTCTTTCTTGTGATTTTTGGCTCAGTTATAATGCATGGTACTTGGGTTATATACACTGAGTTAAGAATCCACTATTGTAGCCATAGACTGACAAAAGCAAGGTCACTAACCTGCCCGTTACTACTTATTCACGCACACACCAGACAACACTAACTTTTTATGGTTGCTTCATTAAACCAGGACCTCAATTTAATTTCATTTTTGGTTTATTTTCGTATAGCCCTAAAGCAAAGTAGTTATCTTGGAGGACTTTACAAAACCGTCGGAGCCAACAAGTCCAGGTCCCGGGGGAAGACAGTCCACAGGTGGCGATGGTTTAGGCCGTGTTCAGGGGTCCCATCATCAAGGCATGAAACAAAGAGACATTGGGTGAATAGCAATGAACAGACTACATTGACCTCCAACTGACACTGTTATGGTTTGGTGCCTGGTGTGAGTGAGGATTAGTGGAGGAGTTTGGGGGTCGGAGTGCATGAAAGCTCGGACTAGAGCCTCCACAGTAAGTGGAGCCAGCTGAGGTAGCTTGGGCATCTGTTTCGGTCCTCCACTGTGAGAATCAGAATTCTTTTCATTGCCATTGTAAGTAATAGCAAGGCATCAACTAGGAATTTGCTTCGGTTTATGGTGCAAACTCAATTCAATTCAATTTATTCTTGTTAGGGCTGTCAAACGATTACATTTTTGTTGTTGATTAATCGCATAGTAATGGTGAGTTAACTCACGATTAATCACATTTTTAACGTTCTATTTCAAATCCACTCCAATTGAAGTTAGATAAGATTATCAAACGTAATGACACATTGTCATTCATACCAAATGTACTTAAATCTGTTTGATTTGCTCACAACCTTTTACTTTTGGGCACAACCAACATTGTTGGAGCTGTTAATGAAAGGGAAAATGTACGTGCCTCAGCTTTAATTTAGCGAGTTTAGTTGCGTTTCAGAAGAAGACAGGAGAAGACACGGACACTTCCTGAGGCTCCATAGTTCAGCTTCAGCGGTGTATTTGCGTGCACAGGTTATGCACAGGTTACGCAAAGACATGCATACAACATGCAAAGAATAGTTCTCAGACTGCTACCTCTGTGATCCTGCATTAATGAAAAAGAAAAAAGAAAAAAAAATTACACTCTGAAATAACATTGTGGCAGAAGAACAGAGGGGGCAGAAATATATAAGAATTATATTCTTCTATCTGCTCCTTTCTGATCATGGAAATGTTTGAATGATTTGAAACTTGTATAACCATGCATTTTCATGAAGTGAATAAACAGAACCTATCTAGGATCTTATTAACAGTATCTGATCAGTTTGGTTGTTTGTAAAGGAATTTCATTCTGATCAAACGTATTGATTTACAAGCACACACACACACATCATAAGCCATTAATTATGTTTTATTGACTGGACAGAATGCCTCAGTGACGTTGACATATCTAATCAAGGAAACCTGGCTAATTACTTTGAATGGCATCTGCGTCATGTAGGTCGTGACACAATGTCTTTTTATGGCATGGCATTTTTTCTTTTCAGGCAATTTGATTCACGCCACAGAGTTCACCCACGATAACAGCAGCTTAATGCAGATACCGCCTTCATTTAATTAGGATTTTAAAATGTCAAACGTTATTGATCAGTATCAAATTGAACAAGGTCAGCGGGTAATTAAAATGAACTCACTCTGCGGCCGATGAAGGCTGCATTAAATACTTTTAACAGCCGTTTTCTCAGAGGAAGCGGATCTCTGCGTGACGCCAGGGTAAAAAAGAAACGTATTTATCAAGTTTTTTAGGCAGAGAAAATAAGAGGAAATTGATTACGCTGTTGGACTTGGACTGGGGTACTGGTCCATGTTTAGACACAGTAGTGGCAAAGATGTTGAATTAAGTAAGTACAGTAATTTTTATATAGCACCTTTCACAGAACAAAATGAAAAAGCGTTTTGCAATTGTTGTGGGCATTTGTCCTCTCACTCCACACAGAGATGGGAGTGGGGTTGTCGCACAGGAGGTGTATGCCAGACAGACCTATTGTATCAGTAGACACGGGGAGAACATGCAAACTCCACGCAGAAAGGCCTGGAAGTGGAAGCTGAGTACTTCTCTATGAATCTACAAAAAATAGGTATAAAATTGATGTAAGTAGTTCCATGTGTTCATAGTTACCTGGTCACCTTGTTAGCGCAGATGGCAGCATGTCAGTCTCATATTCTGAAGGTTGTGTGTTCGATCCCCACACAGCACATAGACTAGAAATACACGGTTAAATATTTTGTCAGTTTGTGAGAAAAGCATTTACTTATTTTTCACCTCTGTCAAATCTTTGGATCAGCTTTTAGACAGATCAGTGAAAAAGAGAGAACCACCTCCACCCAGCCAATAAGCTCTCAGTATATAAAAGATGTTGCCTATATACGTATGAAACAAAAAAGGCAAGTATTTCAGCTTTAGTTTTACTCAATAGCCCTCATTTACACTGAAAAAATTTATATAAAATATAAAACAAATAGATAATTGTATACAGATAAAACAAAGCTTGTTCCCATAAAACTAATTGATTTTAAAGAATATATTTTATTTATGGAGCGTAACTGCATTCTTTTTAATTACAACATAAATATTACCTCAATCACCGTTCTTTCCTTGTCTTTCAAATGTATCGCTAACTGCTCCCATTTTCTCAGTGTCAACAAGCCCCAGCAACTCTTTTGCCAAACATTTTAGCTCTCCCTTTAATAATTAACCAGTACAAATTCATTGGTTTCCACCGTTTCTTTTGCACAATTAAACATTTACGAAGTTTACAAAGTTGTGCCTCAGCATGAGGGGAAAAAACGCCATTACATCCGTTTCACACAGACGTTTAAGATTTTCTGAAAAGAGCCCATACTGTGTTTGTTTACCACATGTTGATGGCTGCAACTGTTGCTGAATTATCAATAAAAACGGCGTAATTGTCACTTTGGCTGGAGCTGCTAATGCAAGCATCTGCTGCTTAGAATTCTCCTAATTAAGGGTTAAAGTTTTTCAAAGCTGTTGGAGGCACATAAAGCCTTTCCCTTTTACAAGAACAAATGAATACTTTTAAATATGGTATTTTTCCTGTCTGTTTCTTTCTCTTTCAATCTGTTTATGGCATTTCTCTTTCAACAAATCATTATTCATCCCAGTCATTATACTATCATATAACTGTATATACTGTATTTAGGGTATAGAATGAGCTTTACCGATGCCTTATCCTTAGTCAAATGTAACATTGTGTGACACTGGCTGAATGGCAAAGAGCTCGCACCATTTACTATGGTTTTATTTACTCATTTACTTTACATAATGTTAAGAAAATGCTGTCTAAGTATATATATATTGTTTTCATACTTGTAAGAGAGAGCTGTGTCAGTCACTATTTGACACTTTGAGCTAATTGAGGGTGATGCCTGTGAAAACTGGAGATGGAACCACAGTTCTTTGAGAGCATGGATCTAGCTAGTCTACACTGCCTTTTGTATTTTGAAAGTTTTAGGCAAACATGTAATATGTATTGTTGACAAGTTTATGAGCAATATCGATAATCGCATTCTCTACCATATCTCGCCGATCGTTTCATAAGAGTCCCAGAGATTCCTATACCTAACTAAATTGTGGTTGCAACTTGAAATGGATTTTGGTAATGGGCCTTATTTACTTTCCACTATAGTCGATTCAAGACAAAACCAGTGCTTGATAGAGAGCGCTCTTATTTCTCCCTTCATTCCAAAGTTGAGGTGTATAATTTTCTGGCACACGTTTTGTAAACAAACTTTTCCCAGCGTTAAGGAGTAACTGACACAATTGAGTAATTAGCTTTATTATCGAGTCAAGATAGTAAAATGTGTTTAGTCTGTGGCCGGTGGTTCGTCGTTAGTAAACAGCCCTGCTATTCATCCGAGAAGCTTTGCCGCTGTTGTCTTTATTAGGTTTACCCCTGCCTCATGAGCAGCCATTAAACAATTCAAGAGGTTATATTACCTGCTCCGCGTAATGAGATATACTTCTGCAAATTTACACAAACTTTGTAAAGAGCAACACTTCTTATGCAGCTACCTTCTCTCATTAGGTTTGCTCTGTTATCAGCGGATACTCCTCAATAAGCCTTCATATACTATTATCACGGTGATTCTCTAAATGTGATTCCGTTTTTTTTGTGTGACAATGACTATTCATAAATATACATAAGTTGTATCATAGTAATGAAAAAACATGAAAACATATTTAACTCATTGTGTGCCATTGACGCATTAATATGTCAATTGCCTTTTCCGCTATTTTCACGTTCCCAGATGTCTATTGTATCTAATATGTATGGGGATGACTTGAGACCATATTTTATCGAGCCAGCAGGTGGCAGCATTTCTCTCTGAATGGTTTGAAAACAGTTAGGTGCATAGGTTGTGCCTCTTTTTTCTCAACTTTCTGGTGATTTCAGTAAAACTTCCCTCTACTCGACGGAGGATTACAGGGGAACGAAAAAAGCTATAAACAAAATTATTTTTGCTGAGGAAAGTAGACAGTCCATTCTTTTATAATCTGGTGTCGGATTTCAGATAGTCCACAATATTCTGTGGGTCTTTAAAAATCAGTAAAAACCATCAGAAACGGCTGGCAATATGGAAGTACCTGTTCTGAAATGGGCTGGCAGTCATACAAAATTTGATTAAATTCTTATCAGTTTCAATAAAAATAAAAATGAATTGTATTGACCTAAATTACAAGAGTAGTTATCTCTCAGGACTTTACAAAACAGTGGATTCGCCAGTACAGATCAGAAAATCAAGCAGGTCAAATTAAAATAAGATAAAAAGCATTGATAAAATAAAATAAAAATAATCCACCCCGAATTGATTGACCAAAAAGAGACTTCAAAGCACTTTCCTGTAATGAGATTTAGAATGTCAAAAAGAAAAAAAGAAGTCTGAGGCACTTGTGAAAAAATAAAAGTCCTGCCTACGCATTTTGACCAACAGCGGTCTTCGTCAGGGCATAAATAATCACCTTAAGGTGTACCTCATTTAAAAGCAAAACAAGTCACATGACGGGAAGAACATGTGACAAGATAAACAGTGTTACCTTACACAATTTTTAAAAAGTTTTTACAATACATTTTTACAAAAGATAACCAGTATGACTCGAGTCGGAAACTATTTAGGAAGGACATTAAAACTATGTATATAAATACATGAAACTGCGTACACTTAAACAAATACACATTGAGCACCACAGGTAAAAGTCAGGAGAGCGAGCATATTGATAGATGCATCAACTGTACATCACTGAGAAAGAAGAGCAGTGTAATGCCAGTTAATACTTTCATCGATATACATTTTCAAAACATAGAACCAAAGACCACTATCCAAAAACTCATAATTCCGAACATCTACAAAAATGGGGTAAAGTACAGCTCCTCGTTTAGCCCAGGGTGATGTAAAGCTCCAAGCGTGTCTATCCAGTATGTCTCCCTCTGGAGCAGTTTTTTTTGAGTTTGTGTCCTCCCCTGAGGTCCATTTTGATTGTCTCTATGACCATGATTTTGAGTCCATTGATGTTGGTGTTGCTGCTCTTCCTCTGCAGCACTCACCTTCCTTGCTTTAAACTAAACACTTTTCTGTAATGTTCCTTTTTATTTTTTTTCATTTATGCAGGTCTGTGTAGCAAATTCTACAACAAATTTCCCTTGGGACAATAACGTTTTTATCTTATCGGAATCAATCAAAATTGCAATATTTAGATGAGATAACTTTTATTTGTCCCTCAGTGGGGAAATTTCAGTCCATTAAGAAACTGAGCTTTATTTTCCGATGCAGGAGGGTCCAAGGACAGTGAGGATGATCCAAGACACTTGACATTCAACAACATTTATGGACATTGTTATTCAGCATAAAAATGAATCGTAGGTCCTTCATTAAAAAAAAGAAACAAAATTCATACAAAAATTCATACAGTAATATGTTCCATTAATGGAGAGATCTATTGTAGTCAATTCCATTAAATGTATTGTTATATAGCCGCCGTCATCTCGGAGGACTTTACAAAGTTGTCGATTCGCCAACAACAAATCAGAATCAACAGTTCAAACACAAGAAACGCAAAAACACATTATAACAAACACACAGTCCGATATAATTTCAGTTTCGCTATGTGTGATTTTACCATCGAGAAATGTTTTTTTTTCTCTCATTCATGGCCTCAAACTCCCACAATTGTAATAATATTGTATCTCCGTGACTTTACAGTGACATAAATAACCACAATAGTGAATCACATCCGTCCACTTGTTTTTTTTGCAGGCGACGCTGAACGCACGACCGCAGCGGATCCTGGACACGGCTCACTCTGCTCCCGCCAGTCCCACCAGCAAAGGCACCCACCTGCATCCTCCCGGGTGAGAGACACGGACCCCCACACGGACCCCCACACAGACCCCCACACAGACGCCGCATGAGTCAGCTGCTAATGTAACAAATGATCAGACGAGCAGATTAGCCGTCGTGAGTGCGGGGGATACAGTTTCAGTTTAATATTAAAGTCGATCCTTTCATTTTGGTTTCAAGTAATCAACGGATATTAAGATGGAGAAACTTTGTGTTGCAAATGATATCTAAATCCCAGAGACAATAAAATGAATACAAATGAAGATTATGTCTATTGTTACGCTAACCATTGTTTATGGCGGTATCAGAATGAATGGTTGCTGCAGTTTAATGATTTCCTCAAAAATTTTACATATTCTAATTGTATGTATTGTATTTATCAAGTGGGATATTGGCGTTAATGCATAAAACGTATATTTAACTGCTAAACATGTTTTGTATTTGATGAGCGCTAACGCAATAGTATTATGTATTTTTTAGCTGTGGAGTGTTTTTGTATTTTTGCTTTAAAGTCTCAATAAGTTACTTCTTTCAAAATGACTGATTCAGGTTTTTCTATTTTGCAGCTTGTGCCTTTTAATAAATTAAGTCCTTCTTTCTAGGATTGTGCTGGTTTAGCGTTATTGCTTTAGTCCCGTAGTAGTGGTAGGTGTGGTGGTAGTGGTAGTGACTGCAGTAGTAGTAGTAGTAGTAGTAGTAGTAGTGGCAGCAGTAGCAGTAGCAGCGGCATGTGAAAGTCAGACATCTGAAGCTGGGCAGGGCCTGGTTAGTGCTGTGATGAGAGACCTGTGGGAAGACCAAGTGCCTATAGTGGCTGTTGTGCCAATCTGTTGTTGTATCCTCACGCAAGACACTTCACCCACATTGCCTGATGGGTGGTGGTTGGAGGAACTGATAGCACCTACTGGTTTCCCCGCTACTGTCAGTCTACTACTTCTGTCATTATTATTAGTCATAGTCGTAACATTGAGTGCTTGATTACTTCCCAGTAGAATAATTATTCAAACTTATTATGCCAGGCCGTGTACATAACAGTAACCTGTATATTATTTACACGCACTAATGTGAGCCGTTTGCTGTGTATGCCCTCCGCAGTGGCTCTCCTCCCATGCCCAGCACCAGCAGCTCCAGCCTGACAAACGACGTCCCCAAGCCTCCACCCAGAGACCAGCCGCCCTCCAGGCCTCCTTACACCCCGACGCTGGGAGGACAGGGCCAGCCACACTCACACCAGTTTCCTCGCACACGCAAAATGTTCGACAAGGGACCGGAGCAGGTAATATTTGTATCGTATTAATGTCAGCTGAATACCGATTTCTCTGTAACTTCATAACTTCATCAATTGTCTAAATAAACTAAAGAATTGCTTCAAAGTTAGGATTAAATTGAACTGAACTTGGGTGTCTGACTCCTGCTTGTTCCAATCCTTGCCATGGCTTGTTTGTATTACCAGTACTAGTAAGACTTTTTCCAAAAATTGTAAATTATTTTTGTCCCAATAGAAAGTAAAATGTTGTGAAAAAATTAAACGACAATATGCTGTCTTCATCTTACGAGAAAACATATTGCATACTTGTAAGAGAGAGCCCTGGGAGTCACTGTATGGCGTTTTGAGCTGAGAGCTGATTGGCCGAGTGACGGCGGTCTTCTCTTTTTTTCCCGTTTTTGTCTGAAAAAACTGCTCTAAAGTTATTGCATAGTCCGTGGTTGTGATTTGAAAGTTACATACCCCAACTTTAATTTTTTATATTTTTTTCATAGTAGCATATATATAACTTAATGGGTGTTTGCTGTTCAGGCCACAGAAGATGGAGATGACCCCGGACACAGGAACTACATTTGCCCCGCTTTACAAACCGGACTGTGCGACTGGAGCGCCAAGTACTTTGCTCAACCCGTCATGAAGGTAAACCATTAAGTCACACTTTAATTTAGTTCATTTACATGTTTCTCAAAGTGTTTATGCTACAACAATGTTTGGTAACACTTCAGTTCAGCCCTCACTAATTAAGAAGTGCTAATAAGTGTGTAATTGATGGTTAATTCGCTATTAATTGGTATTCATTGCGCACGGTTTAGTCCTTATACTACATGGCTTTAGACTATGCTAACTAACTACTAACAGACACTTTCCCATGTGGGTTAGGGAACACTAATTAATTAGCATTTAATTTGCCGATAATTTGTGAGGGCTAATCTAAAGTGTTACCAATCATTTTTGTAGCATAAAAACATGCAAATAACAGGTCATTTAGACTTTTATAATGTGAACCATATGGAAAATAAGGGCCAATGCTTCAACTGGCTTTCTTTCCATGAGCTGATACCAGTCTGAGCACTCTATTGCTTTTAGTATTTTTTTTAATCCTCTAGCCGTGTCAATTGTTTTCCTTTGTATTTTTTTGTCTTTAGTATTTTGTATTCTATTTATTTATTGTGCACACTGGGTATTTTTGCTTTGATTTCCCAAAGTTGTTTGTTTAGCTGCAAATTAACTAAATCTGAGTTTGAAATTTGCCTAGCTATAGTCTCAGTCAAATAAGAGCGAATGCAACTGGATGAGCGTTATTTGTATAAGTGGCAAAAAAAATCAATAACCCACAATTGATTTCTCAGTTGAAATTGAATTGACGCTACAACACTGACATAAGTCTTGGATATTTCACTGGCAAAAGTTGTTTTAAAACAGTAAAAACATTCACTTTCTCTCTTACAAAAACACAAAAATGGAATTGTAATGATCTCTGCATGGATCACCTTATTACCAGTGGCTGCCAGTAGTAAACAGTTTCCCCACTCGTATTATTTCAGTTTTCTGTATTTTGTGTGAACTCTGCACATTTTGTCAGCCATGTTTGGGTGACTTTAGGGTGACTCAGCCCGATGAGGACATGAACCCGGGAGTTCTTTTCTAAACGCCTATAGAAAACTTCAGGCAGTCGGGAGGTTCTTGCTGCGAGAACAAGATGGCTCTGCTGAATAATTGAGGCATGCGAGTGCCATAACTCCACTGCCTCCTGGGTGAAATTTCTCCTCAATAAAGTTGCCTTTACAATGCGCAGTAGGGGGCACCGATATCTGTATTATTAAATCAAGCTGGTTTAAGCACCTGGCACAGCGTTCTGTACCGATAGACAAACACAATTAGTACACATTCTTAACCTTTTAGGTGAGATTCACATTAGTAAAACAGGTTTGAAACTAAGACTTAATGACAGAAGGGTGGAGTTGCTTGCTTGTTCCAGAAATGTAAGGTTTAAAGAGATCGTTTTAGTCCAACATTGGGGAAATTTCGAAAAAATCACCAGTTACAGAACAGTAGGAATGAGGAGCACACAACACAAGATTAGCAAACAATAACTCTATTCTAAAATTTAATAAAATATGCATCTTTAGCATAATAAAGAAGTAAGTTTAAAATATCTGGCTTTAGTGTAATAAGGAAACACATTTAAAATCTCCATATTCAGCATAATTAATAAGCAAAATATCTAACTATCTAAAGAAGAAAATTAGCATGGATTAGGGCTGCAATTAACAATTCTTGTTGATTATCAGTAAATAAAAGCAGCAAAACACCCATTTTAATTAAATTTTGCAGTGTCTTCTCAACATGTTTAATTCTTGATTACTAGATTAGTTAACAACCAATTATAAATGATTAGTTGTCATTAATGAATTAACAGCCCTAGCATTGGATCTAAAAACGACTTCAGGTTTGTTTTCGATAAGGGTAAAGTTTTGTGATTTGTTTCCTTTCAATTTAGAAATGTACAAACCTATATCACTGTATTCATTTCTCCATCTTTGGGGTCACAAAAAGTATAAGCAATATGAAATATCGGTGGAGATCAGATGGCAGAACGGAGCAGAGCGGGCGAGAGCTGTTCAGCGAATCGAAAAGCTGCGTTGGCAAAATGTTGAGTGCTGCCATAAAAGTCCATTACAAAGCTGTATGCGAGAGAGACGCACACAGGTTATCACATCACTGTCAGCAGCTCCTGCCCAAGGACAGGGAAACATCTCGATTAGAAAGTGAGGATCTAATAGCTTTTATTGGTTTTTGGCTTATTATGATCCAATTGTGTGGCATCCTTTTCCTTAACTTAACGTATGGGTGGCTGAGTGGATAGCACTCTCGCTTCTCAGCAAGAAGGTCCTAGGTTTGAGAGGTTTAATGAGGTCCTAGGTTTTTTTCTTTTATAAAGTCTTGTTTCTGACCAAACCAGCCGACAGAGACCATGTGGACAAACGCATAGATCTAACTTTGGCTTGTATAGACCAGTTCTCCGGACTGTTTGGTCCTCTAAACATCTCCATAGACTTCACAGGGGCAGCAGACTGTGCTCGCTCCCGGCGTGTGTATGCATGCCGCGAGCCTAATCCAATTGCCACGTTTATTCACATGTATCTTATTTCAGACATTACTTCACATTTTAGAACAGTGAATGCCTAAGTAAATAATCTCAAGATCCTTTTCAATGGACAAAAAGAAGGAAGCAGAAACCATGAATTATCTGCTTCACACAATTGATATTCAACTGTTCTTTTATCATTCTTTTCATATTTTAAAACTTATTTCCCATTTGATCCACAGCTTTTAGTGATTATGCCTGTTCATTTGACACAATGCTCTGTTTTGTTATTAAATCCCTCCTTTTTCAGCCATATTTCACTCAAGATTTTTGGATGTATTTTTCACTCGTCCATCTTGCACACACATGAGATGCAAACAAAATTGCCATCATTAGTCATTGTTAAAGATGCGCCATCTGATATCACCCAGAAATGAATAGTCCAGAATCACTGTTTATCCTGGATTAGTTAAACCTCTCCCTCACCTTTCCCCTTTTCTTAAATGTGAACCTAGCCATCAATAGTGAATTCTAGCTCTAACCTTAACCCTATATTTTATTCTGTATTTGCTATCTGTTCTGTTGTTGTGATCAGCAGTAAATCTGACTTGGATCTTTGAAGAATCACCTTTATCCAACTACCTATTGTTTACATGCATGTACTGTGTGGACAGGCCTTACTCACAAGACTTTCTATGCAGTATTTTACACATTTTAAATCCCTGCAGTCTAGTTTACACATACACTCACCACCGTGGTACAGAAGAAGCACAGCAGCCTGTTTCATTTGCATAAGTCCACACACTTTTTTGCTGCATATTGTGCCATTGATTCTCTACACTGTATATTGACTGTGTGGATCTCCCAGGAGGGTATAGTATTCAAGAGCCCCATACGAACACACTTTTCACCTCTGGCTTTCATTATGCGTTACATTAGCGGCTGACACAATGTTGGACCACCAGTCTGCGGGCCATTGCCTCTCAACGCACTCACATAGGCGCTATATCCCGACTGTGGGAATACTGTATCCGTCCACAGCCCACAGGGAAACGTGTGGAATCCATACTAAGCAGGCTATCTCGTACAAAGGCATTTCTTTACATTTAACCTGCTGTTTTACTTCAACAGCACAATGCAAACATACCATAGTGCACTCATTAGCTGGTGCAGGTTGTTGGTCAGATGTTTTGGCTGCACAGAGATTCGGCTGCAAAGATGGAGTCAACATTTAAATCAATCAATCAATCAATCAACGTTTATTTGTAGAGCGCCTTTCCTACACAAGGCAACGCAAAGCGCTTCACATCCCCTATCACATCATGCATAAATCAAACACATTAAGAGCACAAGATATATTAAAAACATTAAAAATAAAATCACAAAAATTAAAAACCTTTAAACATTAAAATCACAGATGGGACTAAAATCATAAATAGTCACAGTGCATTAAAAAGATTAAAGATAAAAACAAAGATGAAAAGATAAAATCATTCAGTTGTATATGCGCAGCTAAACAGAATTGTTTTGAGCCTAGATTTAAAAGATGCCAGAGTAGACGCCTGTCTCACATTCTCAGGAAGACTGTTCCAGACTCTAGCCGCATGAATCTGAAATGCAGTTTGCCCATGTCTAGTACCGACTCTGGGCACTAACAGGAGTCCAGTCCCTGTTCCTCTCAGAGTCCGGGTCGGTTCATATGGCACAAACATGTCATGGATGTACCTTGGCGCGAGACCATGGAGAGACTTGTACACAAGTAAAGCTGCTTTGAAGTCTTTTCTCTGAGGAACAGGAAGCCAGTGCAGAGACCTGAGAACTGGACTAATGTGGTCGTACTTCCTAGTTCTGGTCAGGACTCGAGCTGCTGCATGTTGAATGTACTGCAGCTGTTTTACAGCCTGTTTGGAGAGACCTGTGAACAAGCCATTGCAATAGTCTAACCGACTGGAGACAAAAGCGTGTATAAGAGTCTCCAAGTCTGCCTTAGACACTATGTTTTTAATTTTAGCAATGTTTTTTAGGTGGTAATAAGCTGCTGATGTTACAGATTTTATGTGGCTTTTGAAATTTAAGTCTGAGTCCATTATCACTCCTAGATTTCTGACCTGATTTGAGGGTTGTAGAGAGAGAGCCTGGAGGTGACAAATAACGCTCTCTCTTTGTTTCTGGGGTCCGAAAACAATTATTTCAGTTTTGTCGGTGTTTAGTTGGAGAAAGTTATTTTGCATCCAATCACCGATTTGCTGGACACAGTGAAGGAGCGAGTCCACTGGTTCATGCTCTCCTGCTGTCAGGGACACATAGACCTGAGTATCGTCAGCGTAATTGTGATAAGAGACATTATTACTGTGAATCAACTGACCTAGAGGCAACATGTAAATATTAAACAGAAGAGGACCCAGGATTGACCCCTGTGGCACTCCGCAGGCCAGGGCCAAGTGGTCTGAGGTACAGTTTTCGATCTCCACAAAAAACTTTCTGTCTTGTAAATAGGACCTAAACCAGCTTAGGGCGGTGTGCCAGCAACACCAACCCAGTCCTCAAGTCTCTGAATGAGGATGCCATGATCAATAGTGTCAAAAGCAGCACTTAAATCTAACAGAAAAAGGACTGAGACTTTTCCTGCGTCAGTGTTTAGTTTGATGTCATTTGTTACCTTTATTAGCGCGGTCTCAGTGCTGTGGTGGGGTCTAAACCCTGACTGGAACATATCATAAGCGTTATTGATTATTAAAAATTCTGTAAGTTGTTTATAGGCAACTTTTTCTAGAATTTTTCCCATGAAAGGCAGATTTGAAATGGGCCGATAATTTTTGAGTGCCAGGGCTTCCAGACTCCTCTTTTTTAGGAGGGGCCTGATGACCGCCGTTTTCAAGGCCATTGGGAATGTTCCAGATTCAAGAGACATATTAACTATTTGTGTAAGTGAAGGTAAAAGACTGCTCAGAACTGACTTGAGAAATCTAGGAGGTAATACATCCAGGCTGCATGTGGAGGAACTCAGACTAGTGATTATCTCCTGGACAGTTTCGATTTGTACTGGTGTAAAGTGCGTCAGCCCAAAAAGCCTCACTGGCGGTTGGATTATTATTTCTATCGTGGAGGTGATGGCGTTTTTGATACCTTGGACTTTGTCATTAAAGAACTGAGCAAACTCATTACATTTAGATTTGGAAGTAAGTTCTGATGGCATCTTAACAGGGGGATTCGTCAATCTATTTACTGTTAAAAACAGAACACGTAGATTGTTGCTACAGCCTTCAATAGTTTCAGAAAAGTACATTTCCCTCGTTCTACGTAGTTCCCTGTTAAAATTGCACAACGCATCTTTGAAGATCTCATGGTCAACTTTGAGATTTGACTTTCGCCACTTCCGCTCGGCCTTCCGGCACTCTCTCTTCTGTGCCCTGACCGAGTCTGCTTTAGTCCCTGGCGCTTTTTGCTTGTTTGTAACTATTTTAACCTTTACAGGAGCAATTGTATCCAGAACATTCAAAACAGTGGTGGTGACAGAATCAAGTAATTCATCTACAGTAACACACAACGTGTTCTCAAAGTTTACCCTCCCCATGAACAGTTCGTTCATGTGTAAATGTGTTTATTTTCCGACAAATACAAATGTAGGAAATGTTCATAAACTCTAGTTGTGTTAATATTTGTGGATAAACTTTTTGAATGTGTAAAATTCATGTTAAAGGTGCAGTAAGCGATTTTGTTAGCTTAGCCGTAGCACCAACTCGAAACCACTCCTCCTTCCCCTCCCCCCGCCGATCCACCAAACCAAACATTCAGCTTGTTCTTTTTTCTTTGTCACAACAGGGAGAGTGGGTGGCAAACGTGAAATTGCCATTTTCTATTCAAAATATGTTTTATTAATTTTTGGAGACTATAGGCATCTGGTCAGTTCCATTACTATTTGAAAACACATGATACATTTTAGGGTTTAGGAACGTTTTCCCATGCTCTTTTTTTACACTGCGATTATATAAAAATGTAAAAACCAAAATAATAATTCTTATTTAATAACAATGTTGCTCAGGAATTGTATTTGTTTTTTTACTGCTGATACTTTGATTAGTTGTAGCAATATCATTGTTGATATTTTTAATAACCCTATTAATCATTTTGATCTTGCAGCTCTAATGGAGAAATTAGATCAGAATAGATTAGATTAGATAGTTTATCATATATATTCACAACACGGATAAATACGACTCCAGCTGTGCATCCCGGCTTTGAAGCTTGAAGCTTTTTCATCGCTCCGGTGACGCCACAGCGGTGTTGCTTTCTGCCAGCGTGCGCTGCCAGACAGCACAATATGTACATTTGTGATCGCTATGACCCAGACAAGGTCTCTGCATTAAAGAGAGCCCGATAGATCTAACTTTTTTAGAATTGAATAGATGAATGTCGATAAAAAACATGCGACTGACCCTGTCGGCTTTCTGGCCTCTAAAATGTTAGCCTGAATACTTCATGCACTTCTAAAGCATGTATCAGTGACATAACATAAGACCAGTGGCTGACCGTCCAGTATGCTCCTGTTGGCAACCTGTGGCTCTGGAGCAGCACGCAGCTCTTGAGTGCTACTTGAGTGGCGCCTCTTCAAAATGGTTTGAGGGGGAGGGGTATCATTTTTTAGATAGTTTTAATGTGATTTTGGTAGGAGGTTTTTTTGTCAAATATGGCTCTTTGAACCTTAAAGGTTGCTGCCCCATGGGCTAGACACTTGCCTAACTTGCCTGACACAATTTTCTGCAGTTAGTGTGGTATGGGATCTGATAAGGGACATTCTTTATGGTTTTGATCATTTTTCTCAGCACAACATACCACAACCTTTTATTCCTATTCAGGTTTTTTTTTATTTAACAAAGATGTTGTTAGTTAGGATAAAGACATTCTCCAACTCCTTATGTAGATGAGATGGTAATGGAATGTGGCTGTGGCAGAGGTCTCGGCCGAAGTATGAAGAATGAATCATTTTTTACAACATAGAGCTGAAACATTAAGTGAGGGTTCAGAAAAAGTTAAATTAGTTATTTTATGTGAGGAGAATATAATTTAATAATCCTATTAAAGTGATTTGCCTTCATACTTCTGTATTAAAGCTGCCCTGTAGGACATCAACCACCCATACGCAAATTACTTTTTACCATTAATTATGCAAAACCTCATATATTTCTGATTGTGTATTAAAGACAAATTAAAAACATTTCTTTTCCGTTTATTGCCGGTGTGTTTGTAAACAACCCATAGCAAAAAATAAAGAATATCAATGGCATATATAGCTGGCAGCGTTTGCTTATGAGGCGTTTTTCAAAGGCGACGAGCTCACACTTCCTGAATACAAAGCAGCCACACACAGACTCAGGCCGTGTGAATACTCCCCACAGTAATAAATACATGTAAGGCCTGCAGCTTGGAAATGGAGCTTTAAGGGCAGTCCATATACATAATGTTATATAAAAGTCTACTGTAGTATGTAAAAGATGAAATGAGAAGTCTCCGCACGAGAAGGTCCATCCATTTTCGTCCACTTTATCCATTACCGGGTTGTGGATGCAGCAGTTTGAGCAGAGATGCCCCAAGACTTCCCTTCATTTATGTCTGGGATAAACTGAAGGGGTTTTTATGATGTACAGTAGGTTAGATTAAGGCTGTGCCCAAAAATATATATATTTGGTGGATTGTGATTATAATCATTTGTTTAAGATACAAAACAGTTGGAGTAAATTCAGTTAGTGTTTCTACCCCCCTCCTGTGTCCTCAACCATGTAAAAGTTTGTCAATTAAAAATATATATAGTTGTCACACCAGTATTTTTTTCCCTTTTTCATTAAAGAATAAAAAACTTGATGGAGATTGCTCAATATAGGACGATTCTTAAGTTTTTCCAAGATTGCCCTGTCTTAGATGAAGTGATTAAATTGCACAATTTTGCTTTTTGACAAAGAATGTTATTTTTTGATTTATAAAGCTTGATCTATTCACACAACATACTCCTTAATCCTTTTTCAGACTTTGTGAAGTTTTATGTATCATGTAAACTGATGGATAAAAGGTTCATGAGATATATACTTTTGGAGGCCTGTACTGAAGTAATTCAGCAGTAAAATTGAAAAATTGTTTCACGCACCTTATTTGCTTTAACTTTGAAAACACACCATTGTGGAAAGTGAAAATCCAGAGATTACCTGATTATTCTAAGGATTATTTCACTAAAGTAACAGCTGTAGCCCTGACTCTGGATCTAAAAGTCAACATTAGGTAATCTTGGAAACTAGGAAGGCCTTTGGTTTTGTAATAGATTATTTTTGACTTGTTTTTCCCTCACTTAGATCAGTTCAGTATTCAGACGAGATCAGACGAGGCTGAACTGTAATTGATGATCTTTGAAAAGTGGTTTTATGTGAACTTGAATGGCTTTGGAAATGTCTTTATACGATTGGTTTTCCTTGAGCAGAGTGACATGAAACCACATGTTAGAGTCATGAACAATAATGTCAGCCGTCTTCGCCGCCCTCGTGCTCTGTGACATCATCAACAGTGACAGGGCGGAGGATCTGCCACGCTCATGAATAAATAAACGCTCTGCAGTCGGAGTGTTACTTTAAAGCAGCAGCGTCACACTCGATTGTATCTATCGACTGTATACTCAGACTGGAGACTTGTCGTGTGCTAACGTCACCCATAGCGTTTGCTCAATGTGTAAAAAAAAGATTGGAACATAAGATAACTGAAGGCAATATCCTTATACTGTATGGGCATTTGTTTCGATGGCATCAGCTTCACGACAGAACAGGGGCAGACCTGTTGCTGAGATGGTTGCAAAGGAAAGCTAGAGTTTCCCCCCACAAAGGAAGGCTTCTGATTGGTCAATCCTTATGGCTCATATCTGGGTATACAATACAAAAAATATATATATAGCAGAATCACAAAGTGCTAAACCACAGATTTTTTTAGGCCCAGAATCGTGAGTGTGGCACAAAAGGTTACTTAACTAGAGGAGCTTACTTTTACATGCTCTTACTGATTGTATTTATCCCTTAGATCCCAGAGGAGCACGACCTGGAGAGTCAGGTGAGGATGGAGCGACAGTGGAGGTTCCTACGAAACGCCCGAGTGAGAAGACAGAGCCGCAGCATCACGCAGAGGGGTAAGAAAGAGCCGTTGTGTGGTCTCACTCTGCCACACCTCCCTCTCACTCTCTCTCTCTTTCTCCATCTCAATCTCTCTATGGAGACAGATGGTAAATTATAGTGTAGTAAACTAAACTTACATAGTCCACAATGTATGATGCTAGCACATGTCTTCAATTGTAGTTATTCATTCAGTCTGTTCGATCAGATTTGTCAGATGGCACAAGGAATCAGCAATCATCAGATCAACAATAAAAAATGTTTCCTTTCCTATTGTACTCTGCAATTCCAAATCGGTCAATCAGTACAATTAGAACGGTGCAAATACATCCAAAACACACATGAGTCATACTTACAAACTGCAAAGTAATACAAGTTTCAAGCTGGATCTAAACATTGTCACAGTCAGTAAATACAATGTTCAGATTCCCTTCTCTCCACACGGTGATGACGGGAAGCGAGACGCCGAACACACTGGTGCCTCAAAGCCCCAAACCAGCACCATCCAATCACTCATTACATTCATACCTATTATACATGTTTTTAGTGGTGGGGGAAACCGGAGCGTCGTTTCAGGAAGACAGAAAAAAGAAAATCTACGTCTCTCCATTGATTAAGACATGGATGAACCTCACAGATAATGGTCACACATACGATCTCTTTAGAATCATTTATATGTTCTGACTCATAATAATCAAACATGACTTTTCCCAGGCTTTAGCAGAAAAAGGTTAGCGCAAAACTTCACTGATTAAAATACTAAAAACACAACTTGCAGAACTGTTTTGCAATTGATTAAAATGAAGGCAGAAACATCCCCCATTGACACCTTTTGGGCATATTAAGTGGGCATATTAATTATTAGTACAAATTAATCACAAGCAAAATATACCAAAATCAATAATAATAACAAAAAGAGTAACAATGCTTACATTCACATAGACACTATCACATAAAGACATGCAACACACGCAGCATACAGCCAGCTCTCTTCCAGGCAAGCGTTTTTTCCCCCCCCCAAACAGAATAGTTAACAGGCTAACGTCATTGCAGCACCCTCCTCTCAAAAGCGAGAATCTATTGGCGTCACAGCTCGCGCACTTGATACTAGTTTCCCCTGCATCCTCAACGGTGAGCACTGGGGCTGCCCTCATTCAGTCTGTTGAGCTGCAGAGATGAGACATGTAAGAGGAGGGAGGAGGGGAGGTGCATAAATTACTGTACGAGACGATAAACACGGTGTTAAACTGTAGCACTGGGGCGAGATGATGACGCATGTATGTATGAAAAGATGATGCAGGTCTGTAACATTTAGAAATAGTCTAAGAAGTTGATTAATTGACCTAATTTTGAGCTATACCTGTAATAAAATCCATCTGACTGGTTCCAAACTCTCAAAACAGTTTAAGTAATCTGTATTTATAGTTTAGGTCTATCACAAGTTTTCACATGTGTTTTTGTCTTCTGTCACATCTTTAGATCAGCTTTCTTGAATAGAAGGCTGAAAAAAGAGAACCACTCTTGCTAAGCTGCTGCTAATAGATAAAGTGCCAAATATTGCCTCCAGGGCCCCTCCGACAAGTTCGAATAAGATTTAAAAAAATTTGAACAAGAGAAATGCAGCTTGTTGTGGTTGACTTTTGAACTTTTAACTTTCTGCGCCACATGGCCTTGTTCCTCATTCTACAGCCTGATTCCTGGATCTATTGCCGGTCTGTCGGTGTGAGCGGATCCCTCAATGTGGGCTTCTCCAAGGTTTCTTACTTTTTCCCATGGGTATTTGAGTTGTTCCTTATCGATGCAGGAGGGTCTAAGGACAGGGATGATCCAGGACATTTATGGACATTGGTCATCCGCTTCCTATGGACCAATGGCTCCAATGTATTTTTTATTTTTGCGTTTAATGTGAGCTGTTTAATTCTCTGATCTTTGTTGGAAAATGCACAAGTTGGCAAAGTTTTCAGAGACTACTGTTGTGATTAAGGCCTATACAAAGGCTGTTGAGGAACAAATACAATCATATTATTTTATGTGTATTCGCACTATCCGTCTCACCAAACAATTGTATTACATTTGGTAAATGGATTTTGTCACAAATTGACACTATCCACAAGTTCACTACAACTGGTTTGGTCAAGGCTCAAGCTTTAAACTTGCACTTTGTAACTTCTCTGAGGCTGTAATACTCATCTGGAGCGAGGCCGAGATCCAAAACTCCCTTTTTTCCCTTCCATTCTATTTGGATTCTGTGGATTCTGCTTGGAATCCAATCAGAATCCAAATGAGAAGCCAGAAGCCGGTTTTGGAACTCGGCCCCACTCCGCACCTGCTTGCCTCCATGGATATGTTATTTATTTATTGGATTGTGTTATTGTGCTAGCACTAAAACAATGGCTGACAAAGCCATATTGTTTAACATTTAGACAGGTGACGATTTGAGGTTTATTTATTATATGATTAGTAAATAATTGACCCAATGTCATTATCCAGAGGTTTCTCACTTTTTCTCACTGGCTTTTTGGTGCTTCTTTGCTGATGTGGGAAGGTCAGTGTTGATAAGGTTTATTAACACTTCTAAACATTGGTCATCTGCCCCTTATGTCTCCTTTGTATTTATTACTGTTTCCTTTTTGTTTGAACTGTTTGATTCTCTGATCTGCATAGGCGAATTGACAAGTTGTTTTTTAAGTACTCTGAGATGACTACTGCTATGATTTAGGGCTATACAATTATTAATGTAATTGATTTGAGAGTCTAATTTGAACAATATTATCCGATAGTCTGTGTTTTTATTCAGTAGTAGTCACGAGTTATTGCTGACAGTCTTGTTGGACATTTTGTTGTCCTGATAAAAAATGCATACCTCTTTCTACCCATCGCCAAAACCCGGGGCTTGTTTCTGGTTGTTGCTCTGTTTTCGCCCGTAGCACAAACAAAGGAGTCTATGTCACGAGCCTGTTTTACCCCAAAAAATGTCTTTGAGTGAATTTTTCCCCCTTCAAACCAACTCTTCTGCTGCATTTTTTATGAATTGACGGATTTCTTTTCCTTTTTTGTGTGATTATCATCGTCTCCTGAGTGTGTTCAGGTAGACGCCAAGGACAGACTGGGCCAGCGTTGCACGTGTAGTTTCCATGGCAACATACCGAAAGATGGCGAACGTCTTCAGACCTCGCTGCTACACGCTGAATCCTTGTTAGTTTGATTGTTGGGATTTTTAATTTGTCATATAATCACTCGGGTATTTCAGCCGCGTCTGTTTCTGAATTGGCATTATAAATCTGCTAGTGAGGATAATTTTTGGCACTTTCAGTATTTTGGAAATGCAGATGCTGTTCCATTTGATAGTTTCTGGGCATTTTCGATTGGGGAGACGGAATATTAGCCACCAAAATAGCAACAAAAAACTAAATTCCTGGGGTACGTAGCCCCATCTGTGGTGGATGTGTGGGGTCTATGGGGTCTATTCTTTTAGCTTTTGTTCCCGAGTTGGTTTCAAGAGCAAGGAGGATGGATGTTTGTACTTTCCATGTTAATTTCTTTGTGGTTTGAAAGTCTGGTTCTGCAGCTTTCATTATATTTTGAAGCCATATTTTGTGGTGATGTATTCAGGTTTGTTAGTTGTTATAAAATATAGCTCTCTCTTCTCATTTAAGTCTCATTTAAGTCGATTGAGTCGATTCATTGACTGTTTGCTTTTGTTATGACAAACTGCGTCATATGAATCTCCATTAGCTTGTACTGAGGAAACAAGCTCGTCTTTGTGTCAATACATTAGAACATCTGATGTAATACAATATAAAGTTGTGATTTAGGGGATTACAAAATAAATGTATTTGAATCTTAATGCATTATGTAATACTATTCATGTTGTCATTTCGTTTTTTGACCATTTGCATTTACAGCGAGGGCACATGAGGGTCCCAGACTATTTTTCATGAGTGCTCGTGTCAACACAGAGGACAATAGTAAAACAGAAACATGTACAGTTATGTTTCTGAAATTCTAAAAGCAAAGTATCGTAATGTGAAAGTGGCCTCAGTGTCCACTTTTGCAAATATTTGAAAATAGTAACATTTTTGTGGTGCATAATGCTTTAAAGGACTTTTGTTCCGTTTTTGTTTTTAAAAGTTGGAGTTCCAGTTGTCAGATAATCACGGCGGCCATTGTGGGTGGCATGATGGCTGAGTGGTTAGCACTTAGCTTCTCAGCCAAAAGGTCCTGGACTTTTGCAGAACGGGGCTTTTCTGTGTGGAGTTTGCATTTTCACTTCATCTCTTTTTAGATTTCCTCCAGTTTTCCCCTTCCACTAAAGACAAGTACAATAGCTCCCCTCTCTCTGACTCGCCTGAGAAAGAAATGATCAAACTTCAGGGCAACTTTCCTGGTTAAATGAAGATAAATGATGATAATAATGATGATAATAATACATCAGGCAGTTTTCCAGTTTTTGTTTAGTGACGTCTTGAACCGCAGCCATTGCACCGTGTCTCTGCATCTGTGCCTCATGCGTGCCGTTGGTTTCTGTTGCAGGTATTTCCCGTCTGGACGATCAAATATTCATCAACCGAAACCCCGGCGTCCCGTCTGTGGTCAAGTTCCACCCCTTCAACACCTGCATCGCGGTGGCCGACAAGGACAGCATCTGGTGTGTTACTACGGTTCCATCTGGGCACTTTATGGGCTGCTCTCGCCAATGCTTTATTTTACTAAAAAAAAAAACAACTGTGAAGCCAATTGTGAGAAAAACAAAATAAGTTGCACTCAGTTGTACTTTATTCAAAGGCATGAGCAGTATTGTTGTTGTCTGTTTGTTGTACTTCTGCATCCTCTGTTTAAAGCTATCTTTGAAACCACAAAAAAATAAAAAATAGAATCCATGTTACTAGTTCATCTGCTCTATAAACTGTTTTTACATGCAAGTAGGTACAGGCAGAAAAGTGAGAACTAGAAGACCAACCTCACTCAGCCAATCAGCTTGCAGTATGTAAGAGAGCCTGTCTTACAAGCTCAGGAAGACTGTTTAAGGTTTTAGATCTGAAACGCAGCCTCCCCATGTTTAGTCCTGACTCTGGGCACCAGCAGGAGGGCGATCCCTGTGCTCCTCAGCATGTTTAGGAAAAGTAGGTACCCCAGAAGTATCAATATTTTTCATGACTAGCTATACTATTTTGGACAAAGTAAAAAAAAAAAAAAACATCTCGAAAATGTTTTCTCCCATGTCAACTAGTTAAGTTTAGGTAAGGAGTGTCTGGCGTTGTCTGAAAACACCATTATTCAGACTGACTTTAAAATGAGCTATACCAGAAAGCAATGTGCAGAAACACTACCATTTTCTTTTATATTCCCATTCATTCAAAATGACCAATTGATTTGAATTGTATTTGACAATAAAGATTACCCATAAAAATAATAATTACTTAGATCTGTACAGGTTTAACTTATATTATTAGATTTTAAGATGTTTAAATTTCAATCTGTAGATTATTTGTTATTCGTTATATTAAATATAAAATATGCAAGAAAAGTTCTAGAAGTATTGTAATTTTCTAAATGCTTTTTGCAGTTTCTGGGACTGGGAGAAAGGCGAGCGGTTGGACTATTTTTACAACGGAAACCCTCGGTACACGCGGATCACAGCCATGGAGTATCTCAACGGCCACGACTGTTCGCTGTTGTTAACGGCAACAGGTAAGCATCAAAATATTGATATTTTAGGACATATTATAGGACATATTTATCAAAATATTTATAAAAATGTTCTGCCTGATCTTAGTTTGAGGTCGCAATGAGAGAAAAAAAGTGATAGTTAATGGGGTATGAATACTTTTTAAAGACACTGTATAGCTATCATTCACAATTCCAACAATGATTAATAACAACAACGCATTGGTTTTATATGGACGCTTTTCTGGAAACTTTTTTGTAATCATTCCCTTTATACACGCTGAATGAACCACCACCGACACTCACTCACACACCTTACTAGACTTATTCTAGGCAATGTGGGTGAAGTGTCTTGCCTGAGGACACAACAGCTTAGCACTTTACAGCCGCAGCCGCCCCACTGTGGCACCTGGTGTTCCCAGAGGTCTCCCATCTCAGTGCTAACCAGGCCCTGCCCTACTTGGCTTCAGGCGGGATCTGGCTTTCAATTGCAGGTGGTGCTACTTATGTCTGTATTTTACAAAAAGAGAGTTATCTTTGTTAATACATAACATGTATTACATAACATATCCTAGCACTTTTCTCATTAATAACCTTTTAATTTCAGTCTCTTTGTTGTTTCCTCTCACTCCCTTTGTTCGAATTCACACATTTGTCGCTATTTTTTGAGCACCACCTGTAAATATGACGGCACATCTTTTCACAGCAGACCACAACACGAGCCATTTCCCAAAACCGTTCTGTACTTCCACTCGGCGTGAGCTCCCTGAGTGTTCGTGCCCACCAGCAAAACCCCCGCTCTCTCTGAGACTCATTTGTAGCAACCAGCTTTAAATACGAGACTTGTTCCAACTCCAAAATGCTGCTGAGGGCCCAGGTGTAAGCTGCGTTTATTATCGGAGTGGAACAATTACCCTCCGTAGATCTGTCCTCAAAACACTGACCAACTTTACTCTCGCACGTTTGTTTAGTTTTATACCGTATTAACTAAATAAGCGCTTACATTTGCCTACATTTATAACCGAAGTTGGAACTGCGCAACCTAAAATATGCACTTTAATCTAATCCTCCAGCTTTGTAGAAATTTTAGTCGAAGTGCTCGAGTTTACGAATGCTTGTGTGACGCCTGGATGTATTGACATTTATTCGTTCTTTTTGAATTAACCTGTGTTTATGTGTTTTAAAGGTGTTAGTTGCAATGTTTTAGACTTGGACAAATTTGATAGAGGGCACCAAGACAGTGATACGTAGATTCCCGTCCCGAGCTGCAGAATATTACAAAATACAAGTTACAAAAGATATCAAATACATCACCAAAATTGCACCCATAAAAAACAATCCTACAAAAAAAATCCAAAACTACCTGGACAAAAGACAAGACCTAAAACCGAGGGAGAGAAAAGGAGCCCAAACATAACACCAATGAACTTGGATGCACTGGCCCAAAAAAAAGTATAAATTAAATAAATGTCAAAAGTGAAATGGATAAAATATGTGTACCAAATGTATATACATATAGTGATAGTGCAATTACAATTAAATATTGTGGAGTATGAATTAATACAGAAGGTGCAAAAAGATAAAGCAGTGAAAATATGAACTTTTGAGAATGACTGAAGGTGGTCTGTGCCACAGGGGAGAGATGTTTTAATCAGGCCGACTGGGAATTTTATCAGCATTTAACCCCTTCCATGTTTCTTTTTGATATTTTATGTACACAGGGGAGAGATGTACAGCTGTATGGAGTGGTTTATTCTGTTTTTAGGAACTTTCACCTTCAAATTCTTATCCATTTTGGCGTACCATCGTAATGCATGTCCATACACAGAACTGTATTATCGTATCTTAGAGAATTAATGTATATTCTTTTCTCATTTTAATCACGTTATAAATTCTAATCCCAGTGAAACAGTCAAACATTCATGAAAACAAAAAATGATGTACATGTAAATATTATGTTTTAATCATAAACCATTCAGTAACATCACTTACCTCCTGATCTCTTGCCGTTTCCCCAGATGACGGAGCTTTGCGAATCTGGAAGAACTTTGCCGACCAGAAGAACCCTGAGATGGTGACCGCGTGGCAGGGGCTGTCGGACATGCTGCCCACCACCAGAGGTCAGCCCTCCACCGCCGCTCACAGTAAAGACCCGCGCTTCTTCTTCTTCTATTCACACCATCACATCTGTGCTCCCATTGGCTGCGTGCGAATGTCTCACTTTTGGACTACAAAAGTTCACTCTCGATTTGAACCACTTTGTACAATGAATGTAGAGCAGCAAGAAAAAATACTTCATGATTTTTTCAATATATAGATAGATAGATAAATACTTTATTGATCCCCGTAGGAGAAATTCAGGTAAGTGACATTAGATTGTTATTTTTTAGCAAATAATAATCTTGCAAGTTGCGTATTCTCTCATTTTGGTCAGATGGACCTGGTTCACCTCAGGAAAATCCACCTGAGGTTAAAGCTAGGGTACCTACATTTCAAAGCACAAATGGAACTATAATACAAATCCATCTAAGTATGTCATTGCTCTCAAAACGATTTGGTCTCTAGTTTTCACATACATGTATTTTTTGGCTTCTGTCATATTTTAAGATCAGCTTTCTCAGCCCAAAGCCTCAAATAATGACACAAGCGGGCTCTTTAAGTACGCAAATTATAACATATTTTGTACTAAGATAAAGACGGCATGCTCTGATCTGATTTGTTCACAACATTTTACTTTTACAAGACTTTCCATTCAAGAAATGTATAATTTATAAAACAAACAATGTAGCTACCCCAGTTTTAAGATTAAGCCACACTTTATTGTCCCCGGATAGAAATGTGTCGTCTGCGTTGTACCTCTCCGTCTATGTGAAACAAGGTCATGCTTGTTTACTATACTTTGGCTCAAATCAGAAGGGTCCACTACAATTAGACTAAGTGCCTTATGTAGAAAATAGTGCAGACATTCAAACGCAGCTGTTGAATATTTACTCTCCATTGTGTTCTTGTCCAAACATCATTCCTTGTGTTTAGATTATTTCATTTGGGACCAGGCACATTTTTTGCCTCTTTCTTCCAACATGGAGACTTGTAGTTCACCCCAGTACTTCAAGATTTGGAAAAAAACACCTGCTCCCCTTATTCTTTTAATAAATGGTACTATTGATTCACACCCACATCTGCCCTCCTGATGCTACTGTTGCATCTTGACACCAGGATTTTAGCTGCGAATACTTGAAGCCCCCACGGATCAAACGTGTTAAATTAATTCAATATTTTCTCGCTTGCGCTTTGGAAGGTTTTAAGAAAAGAAAAACTCAATGGATTATCTGCGCTGATGAGAAATTATCAAAAACACGGCATCTGGAATATTCTTTTTGCTGCTTTAATCACTTGCATAATGTAATAGTACAAGTCTTTTTAGTTTCACTTCAGATATGTTATTTTATTTTGCTTTAAACATATCCATCTACATTAGCCCTTATATTACATTACCAGATTAATAAATAGTCTGCTTCCTGTAGGAATTCAAGGCAAGGATAGTTTATTTGTATAGCATATATTATATACCAGTGACCAGAAAACAAAGGAAAAGATTAAAATCATAAAACGGTTAAAAACATAAATACTATAAAAGTACATTGATTGAAGAGAGCAGATGAACATTCAAAAAACTGCTGCATAGAACTCTTTTTAACCTGATGGAGGCTTTTCTCACATTATCAGGAAGACTATTCCAGATTTAAGCTGCATGAACATTTTTAGCTGTAAAAAAGGTTAGGGTTAAGTTTAATATTGTGCTGAGGAATATGTCAAAGTAAGTAATTAAGTAAGTAATAGTAAGTAATCTTTATTTATATACCGCCTTTTCACTGCAGATCTGAGTCTCAAAGCGGTTTACAATTGTTAATTTTGGGCAATTGTCTCTCACTCCACACAGAGATGGGAGCGGGGCCAGTACAGGAGGCGCATGCCAGAACATATTTGGACATATTTTTAGTGGTAGGGGAAACCGGAGTACCCGGAGGAAACCTACGCAGACACGGGGAGAACATGCAAACTCCACTCAGAAAGGCCCTGGTCCGACCGGGATTCGAACCCAGGACCTTCTTGCTGAGAGGCGAAAGTGCTATTAACATATCTGTGGAACAAGCAGGTGGTGGACCCCATTGGAAAAGTCGCAATGTTGGACCTAAATTGGAATTATTTATTAATGTGTTTATTTTTCTCCTCTAAAATTTTGACAAAAATGTGTAAATTAATCAAAATCATTCGACATCTCCAAGGAATGGCCAAATTTGTGTTGCATAGACCATTTTAACGACATGTCGAAATGAGTACTGACTAATACGGAAGAAGCAGATTTGAACAGCAGCCATCTTGGCAAGTTTGAAGCCAAATTCCTTATTGGTCACACCGTCGCATTTGTTACGACGGTGTGACCCACTCGCAATTGTGTTACTGAGCTAAAGGAGTTGACGGTTCAATAAAACTTTGTCCCTGAGCACTTCCCTATTGGGTTTTAATGACCTGGTCGGCATTGTCCATCTATATACAGTCTATGCTTAATGATACTGTCGGGTTATTTTTTGTACTTTTTTGCGAGATTGTAAAACTATCATTGACAATTGGTGTCAGTACTGTTCTCTGGCCCTACAGTTAGTCTTGTTGGCATAGTTGTGAGCTGCCACTTGTTCATATTTCAGAAGTTGTGCACATTCTGAGGTCTGGTTGACACCTGGACTACACACACTTGTCAGAGGGCTCCACGCTGCAGTGTTGTGGCAGCTTCTCCGCTCACCTGCTCCACTTCCACTCTGCCTCTGGCACTTTCTCAGCCGCTTTCTGGGTCAAGCAAGTTCTTCAGGCAACTGTGACAGGCGGATGAATTGGGGTGTACTGCCTGAATTCTTGATATGACGCACTTTCCCAACATGAATTAAAACTGTTTTAAGGAGTTTGGCAGCGTTGGTGGTTTGTCAGGTATTAGCGTGGATCACAAGAAGCGCTGCTAGTATTTTCAATCAAGATATTATTTTTATGCTAGCAACAGTTACTGGCCGGGTTCCCTGTGTATCTTTAATGAAGGAAAATACTTCAAATTCAATGTGTTCTTGTATAGTCCTAAATCACAACACATCTCAGAGGACTTTACACAACTGTTGAATTCGCCAACACAGATCAGAGAATCAAACGGTTCAAACACAAGAAATAAAACTGAGAACACATTGGTATTGGTCCATAAGGGTTGATAAATGTCCATGCATGTTGTTGAGTGTCCTGGATCATCGCCACTGTCCTTTTAGACCTCACAAGACTAACAGACCCTCCTGCATCGGCAAGGAAAAACTCTAAACCAAAACGCTGACAGAGCCATGAGCTCTCTCCCCATTGGTTTGAGTTCTAACTTTTAAAATGTCATCTAAAATTTAGTTTAAATATTTAGTGCCCATTTATTTCTCCATGTCTTGATTCAATCCAAATTGCACTATGTCTATTCAGTTCATTATATACTGTAAGGCGAGGCAAGTTTATTTGTATAGCAGAATCCATACACAAGGCAACTCAAACTGCTGAACATAATAAGATATAGATATATAAACAATACACAGCTGGTGAATTTTTATCAAAACCCAATTGATATTAATCCTCCATGTCTATATGAGATTTTTAAAAATTAAGCAAAAAGGCTATGCATTTTTAAAAATCAGCTCCGATCGAATATTTCTGAAACTCTCCATTGATGCACTTTCTGTACAAGTCCCAAAACTCTGATTTCATGATCCTGAGTGTTACAGCTGACACTTGTGTATAAAGTTTGCTGTAGTATGTAAAATGTCATTCAGATTTGGGTAATTGGAAGCAACCAAATCCTGAGACGTCGAACTCGGTGACAGCATTGGACGGGTTTGGACTCAGTAATGCGCATATGTCAATCCGATCATTACCAAAGCAGCACATCACGGTGGCCACATGCACTTAACTAGCACCTCTCCTATCTGGCCCTGACATCAGCTTCTCTCAGCCCCCCCACCCCACACACACTTCCAAGTTTGTTTTGTTTTGAGGGAGACTTTAAACATTTATTGGCGTGCTTGTTATCGTCCTGGATGTATTGGGACTGACATGTTGTGGAGGTGCTGCTTTCAGACTTCAGTGGACACGTCAGCTTTAATAGCAGACGCCGAAGTGGCATCTGCGATCGGAGAAGTTTCACTCAGGCCTCAGCGAGGGTTTTGCTACTATAACATGAGGCTATATTCTGATATTTTAAATTTGTGAATCCATGGTAGTTCACAAAACAGTTCATTCATACAGTGATATGTGTAATATGTGTCTTGGTACAGGGTTAGTTTGTCCCAAACGTTTAAGACTGACACCCCCAAAAGCATGAAACAGACCATCAAATTCTAAATTTATTTTAATATTGTTTATTTGAGTTATTGTATTGTCCTATGTTATGCCTTCACTGAAATCATATGCTTTATATGTAAACAATTACATACATAGCTTTAATTTAAATATTTTCTCTTGAAATTACCTGTGACGTGTCTAAAATCTATAAAAAAAGCCCTTCTACACTAATATTACTGCTATCAACCAATGCAACCAATCCATATCAATAGAAAATAGCTGTACGTCACCTTTAAGATCTGCCACACTGCATTTTGTCATCTCTCTGGTTCAGTTTAGTTTGTGCATCAGTACTTTGAATGCGTTCTGATGCGCTTGCGATTCAAAGTAAAGAGTTGCAGAGTCGTATTAAATGGGTGCCATCTTTTTAACAACAGAGGGTATAAATTAGCGTTAACTTGCAATTTGATGTGAGACGTAGACAGGAGCATTGACAATCCTTATCCACGGCCGTTCAGCTCGTGGCAATGTCTCTTCATAACTTGGGAACCGTTGTCAAATCGCTCACATCCCGCTGTGATCCAGTGCATTTATGTTTTTGCCTTTTGCGTCCGTGAGTTGTTTCTTGTGTGAATTATCAGCTCGCGTTTTGAATATTCCCCATTTCCTGCCCAGCGTCGGCAGCATTAATAATGTAGCACTGCTCGTTGAAATATTACAACCATTTCTACTGCCAACACATTTCTTACAAGCCTGTGAAGGGCATCCTCGTCCCTGCTTCTTTTCCCAG